TGTTGCCATTTGCATTGCCACTTAAACACACATAAAGGCGGTAGCAGGAGTATGGTGGTGGGGGTGTGGCACTCACACAAGGACACATACACACATGTAAAACGGAGGACCAACTGACGGTCGCCGGCACGCAAATCGAGTCAAGTTGAATAGGCGGAAGTAGAGCAAGAAATGCGATTGCCAAATTGAGTTGAAGGTTTCGCTTGACTGTGTTTTGTTTGGCCAACTCCATGAGCTCGACTGCCTCGTCGTCCCTTTGCCATCGCCATCTCCATTGCCACTGCCACAGCCAAAATCAGCAGTGGCAGTGGTAGTGGCAGTGGCAACACCAAAGCCAACAGCACGCAGAATAAATATTTTAGCTTTTCTGACTTTTAAACTAGATAATAAAGTTTATCATTTATTTTAAATAGTATTTGAAGTTCAATTCTGAGGAAATATGGGATGGGTGGACACTCTTTTATTATTTAGTATTTTTGTTTCATAACCCTAGGGCTTAGAAATTATATCTACATTTTTTGTTGTACAACATCAACATTAAAGATTAAAAGTAAAAACAGTTTGCAAATATTATTTCTTCTCATTTTTCCCCAAATAAAACATAATTTAAATTTGTACTTCCAACATAATATTTGCAATATCCGTTTTCAAATTAAGAAACTTTCGATTGATCCCAAAATTTATTTTGTGTGCAGCGCCTAGGTTTCCGTTGACGGTGCTGCAGCTCCCAGTTCCCAGGCACTTGGCACTTTGCTGCAATTTTGTAGTTTTGATAAAATTTCGCAAGCATATTAAAAAGTTTTGCCCAACTTCGTTTTTACTTTTGCACATGCCATACGGCCGAAGGGATGGGTCAGAGACGGTGGTGCCGTGCCGGAGGGGGCGTGTCTCCGCACATGCCACTGACAGGCCAAAAGAGGAAGCTGTGCCTTATGGCTCTGCCAGCCACGGCATGTTTGCTGCCAAAAAATACAAAAAAAAGAAAAACAGTAAAAAAAGAAAATAAATAAATAGAGTACAAAAACTTAAAAAAAAATATCGAAAAGGGAAAAGGAATGTAAAAAGCAAGCAGTGCACTTTGCTTTGCTATTTAATTTTGCCGCTCAAAGGCTTGACAAGCTCCTGAGCGAAATAGAAGGAATGCTGAGAGGGCGGTGGCGAGACTCTGCGAAAGGGAGACATTTTTCGGCAAACTTTCGCAACTTGTTTATGCGAAATAACCAATTAAATTTGCAACGAGGGCCGCACATCGCATCGCATCGTTCATGCAGCCCAACAACAACCAGCTAAATAATAACAAACTCACACTAAAGGACACGCCTTGTGGTAATTAATAAAATGCAAACATATACTCGGACATAATAAATTAAAATACGCAGAGAGTTCATAAATTCGTCCGCTTGAAAAAATATTTGATTTAATTTTTAACTCGCTTATATAACCGCCTGAATTCCTGCAACGACATCTATCTATGGCCGAATTTTTAACATAATTTGGTTGTATTTTGGTTGCGTTGTTGCCAGCACACAGACACACCACATACAGCAATTAAATCCAATTGAGTGCTGCTACATTTTTGTTCAACAATTTGTATGGCCCACTCAGTGAGTGTTTGTGTTTCTGCAACAAAAGCGCATTTAATTCGGCATAACACAATGCATAAATCTGCCTTTATTGAAAAACCAAAGCCAGCCAACAACCCACCAAACTCTCACCAAAAATGAAGTTGCCACTGCAGCTGCTGTTGGCTTTTGCAGGATTTAAAACTTTAAAGTCAGGCCTGGGCTTTGTTGCCAAAAAATCATCATCGAATTGTGTTGACCTACTTAAGAGGCCGAGTGTCAAGTAAGCTTCTGCCTGCCTCTCCTGACTTTAACGAGACTTTGGCCCTGGCTGATTGTTATGTAAAGGCTTCCTGTCTCGTCGTTAGATTGTTAAGAGCTTGTTAGAATAATGGCTAAATCGATGCACATGAGCAAGAGCACACAAGATATCGGTTGAATGTCGGTCTGCACGGATTTGTGAGTAAGAAAGAGTGATTGTCAAAACTGTTTACTTTAACATTATTTATTTATTTCGTTTTTGTGGCTGACTTGGCTTGCTAATCACTACGGGCAAAGCTTTGCAAAGGTCAGATAGGGCTTAAGAAAAGAGCTTGTAGTCTAGGTAAAGTGTTTTGAAAGCACAGAAATAAGAAACTGAGAGTTCGGAGATTTAATAATTTCCATTTACGGAGTTTTTTACTAATCTAGAATCTTAAATTAGGGCTATTGGTGGTCATAAAATAAAAAATAATAAATATTCGAATCCCCAAAAGGAGGCAACGGGTTTTAATAACTATTGGTTAGCCTGAAATCCACTCTTTTTGCCTTTAGAAGTTTTAGAAATCTCCTATTTATTCATATGTTCTGTTTTTGCAATAAATAACTAATTTGGTGTGATTGCTCACCGAATTACAAGAAAGAGGCAGCCGTCGAGTGCAATGCGGTTGCATGACAAAGGAGCACCTATTAAAAAGCTGAATTTTAGTCCGACTCGTAAATTATATTCGCATTGTGTTTGCCTTTCAATAGCCAGTTGCCAGCACGCACACACACAGACACACCAAGCACATACACACACTGACGGCGAAAATCGCATTGTCAGGCGCTCGTTAGGCGAATGCATGTGCATGTATATGTATGTGTTTTTGGGAGTAAGAAAAAATGGAGGTTTGCCTCTGGCCGTGTATTGGTTTTGTCGCTGTGGTTATGCGCGCTATTTCACAGGATACACCAACTCACCAACACACACACACAAATACCACGCACACTGAGGCACACACAATAAAAATGATTGCATTGGCATGCGATGACAGGATGAGCGGGGGCTATATGGAACCATGGAGCAGCCTGGCTGCATTTGATGGATGAGTTCGAAGCCATGAACCAGATGTGACAATTCAAATGCCAAAATTCAGCACACATACAGTTACAGAAACACACACACACACATAGGGTTGCCCAGGGGCGTAGTAACTCAAAGGGAGTTGTCAGAACATCGCATATTTTGCGATCCAACGATCCCCCTACGAGCACGCACCTGCTCGCACAGACCCTAATATTTCGTGTTAAAAAATGCAACGAACAATATGCGAACCGGGCCAAAACTCACGAGTTTTTATTGAAATTGAATTGTTGATAAGTTTTGTCAACACAAAACGCAGCTGAATTTAAATGGGGTTAGCTCTTCACACGCTCGCAAACATTTTTGGGGGAATTCCGAGGAGAGCGGGCTGACGTAATTGATTTGCTTGATATTGCTTTTGAAGTACTGGGCTAAGCAATTATCAATTTTTTGCTGACATTTCCAAGTGGTTACCAGAACTACCTATGCACAGGGAGAAAAAAGAAGATGTCTTGTTATGGTGTGGTAGATGTTTATATTACTTGCAGTAGCAAAACTACCTTGTCATATCGAATCAATTCATAAGTCTTTTAGACACCTTCAGAAGAGTTTTATAGGCGTTAATAGTTTGTATGACATGTTTTCCTTAAAAATTAATTAAACTTGAATTATCGAGACTTAGTTTTTCAACAAAACAATCGATTACATCCCTAACTACCAACATTTTTCTCTCTGCTCCAGCCATGTCAATATTTATCTGGGTTAATTCCTAATTCATTGACTGGACACTCCAGGCACAAATGCAACGTGGAGAGCCCTTGACTTGGTCAAGCCTTGGGTGAAATTCCCGAATCGAAAGCCGGTCGAGTTCAACAGCCTCATGCCGCAAACATTTGGCATTTTATTCGTATCCTGACGATGATGAGGATGCTGCTGCTGCTACTGCTGCTCCAAGTGCCGGTCAGTGTGGCAACAAATGTTGCCAAATGCTGTGCCACAATTCGTTTAATTTGCGGCCAGCTAGCCGAAAAGGAACCCGACCCACTTACCTACACTTGCCGCTGGCCACAATAACCCACTTTTATATCCATTCGGTTGGCCAACATGTTGCTGACCCAAAACCGATGAATAGTACGAGTAGTTGGCTAAGAGAGCGCCTGCGCTTTTGGTCATGGCCCAAAGAGTAGGGGCTTGGGTTTTCCTACTCTCTGCGAATCGAAGCATCGTGCTCTGCCCAATTACTCAATAGCATTTCTCAATCACTTCAAACACGCGACTACTGTTGGCCATAAAACGCCTAACTCTTGTTCGCTGTTAAATGAGCCCATTGCCAGACGCAAAACAGGCCTTTAATTGCCAGACGAATCTGTTAGCCGGCCATTCAGTCATCCGGTCAGCTATTTGTTGACTGGCTTACAACTGTCAAGAGAACAACTCGGATTGCCCTGACAAATGGTTGGGCTTTAAGCCTTTTGGTCTAACTAGCATTTAAGGCGAAATGAGCATGAAAAGAACATCCCGAAGCACCTGAAATGTCTGCTCGAATTAGTCAAGCGACAAAAGTGGCTGACAAACAGAAAAATACCAGCCGACAGGATTTATATGAGGCAATTAATTCTCGCGGCTTCGCAGATTGACAAAGGCCTTAAAGACTTAAATTGGCCAGATTCGCGAAGGCACTGGCACTGCAGCAATTTGCAGCTCATTTAAATTGCAGGCGCGTAAATCAAGGCAGCAACGTGCAGCATTTGGCGCCCAAGGCAGCGCGTCCAGGCGCCAGCTCACAAATCAAGCGGCAAATTGAAATTGCTTGACAAGGCCGCAGAGTTATGGCATCCATAAAAAGAGTCCTAACAGAGCCAGATAGTAAGGCGGGAAAGACAACCAGATGATGATGATGATGAGGCGACGACAACAATTCTGTTCATTTAATGTGAAAAATTCGAGGACGAAAAAATATATGTACAGTGAAGGCTTTTCAGTTTTTCGGTGTACTTGTTTATATCAAAATACAAAAGCCTAGTTTAAGAACAACCCAACCAAGGATTTTAAGATCTAAAAAACATTACAAAATAAAATAATAAATCACACTCTCACTTTGTTAAATGTAAGTCACTCCACATTTTTTAAAAAATTTTGTTTCTGCAAAAATGTGGAAAGTTCAGGCACTTGTGGTGCAAATCTTGCTGATGGGCTCCATACTGAGCACGTACTTTCAACCGACACTTTTGCCCAACCTCGAGCCTCAAAAGACGATGAAGGAGTTGGGGCTTGAACCGCCGGCGGATCGACTGGTAGTATTTCTGACCGATGGCTTGCGAGCGGCCACCTTTCTAGCGAACAACGGCAACGATGTACCGGATCTTAGGGATATATATCTGAAGCAGGGAAGAATTGGAATATCACGAGCCTGTGCACCGACAATGACCAGACCTGGACACATTGCAATATTTGGCGGCTTCAATGAGGATCCAACAGCTGCTTTGGTCAACTTCCGATATTATCCTAGCAACTTTGATACCGTCTTTAATCGCAGCAGGCATGCCATTGGCTGGGCCCACAGATATGTCGCCGGTTACTTTAAAGATCTTCCACATGGCGGTGCCCCGATGAGATTTGACTCTTTCATGGAATCAGAATTGCCAGAAAAACTCACATGTGACAAATGGACATTCGAAAAGGTACAAAAGTTCTTCAAGAATGGGGAAAATGTTCGGGAATGGCGCAACTATAAACCTGCTGTGATTTTAGTCTATTTAGCTGATATGGACATTGCTGCACATCGGCTTATGCCATTATCTAAAAAGTTTCATGAGAAACTTCAGTATACACAGCATGGAATCCGAATGACCTATGAACTCTTTGAAAGAATCTTTAATGACAGTCGAACGGCTTATCTGATGACATCCGATCATGGAATGAGTGACCACGGTGAGTCTTAATATACAAATTATAAAGTCCACTGCTTATTTAAATATATTTTACTAATCCAAAACAAACATTTTAAGGAATGCATGGGAGTGGAACCGATCATCAAACAGAGACGCCACTGTTTATGTGGGGAGCTGGTGTGAGTCGAGAACAAAGGGATTCGGAAGTGAACTTTCCTAGCAAGCCCAACATATCCGTGGTAGAGCAGACTCAACTGGCGTCTCTAATGTCAGCACTAATAGGGCTTCCACCTCCGATGAACAATATGGCCATTATGCCGCTCGGCTATCTTAACGTGAGCGAGGAATACGAAGTTAAAGCCTTAGAACTAAACGTTTTGCAGCTGGCAGCCCAAGCTAAAATTCTTTTAAAGCGATATGAAAGCGCCCTATTCTACGAATGGCTGCCCAAATTTGAGAAGTTGAATTTGAAGCAGATTGATCAGTTTTCAGGAAATTTCAATTCATTAGTAGAAGGAGGGAATTTTAAAAAGGCGATGAAGATTACTGAAGGGTACGGAAAGTTGTTGCAGAATTGCTTAGCATACTACCACGAATATTACCAACTTCCGCTGATGGTAGCCACCACCGGATCCTACTTAGTTTGGTTCTACTGTCTTCTACTTCAGTTGACTCGTTTGTCCAAGAAGGCAAAGGAGCAGACAAAGGGATATATGACCTTCTCAACGCTGGTATTAACCATGATCGGAATCTTACTATTTACATTGTTGGAACTGCAAAATGTACCGAAAATAACAGCCTGCTATTTAGTTCTGCCAGTGGGTATGCTAATTATGGCACAGGCCGAACGTCCTGCGAAGGGATGTTGGACTTTAACACCCATTTTGAACTTCGGTTTCTCTTTGCTACCTGCTGGTCTACTGATATTACTGTTCATTGTTTATCAACGTACAAGCGTGCTGTATGCGATTTTCGTGCTACTCAAAAACCGGAGAGCCTTTCTAAGGCCATCTATTAAGTTGTTCGTTTGGCTAGGCCTAGCTTTAGCTTTGATTGGCCAGCTTTTCGTATTGGAAAGTTTTAAAAACGGAATCCATGTTATTCCCTTGAAAAACTCTCATGTGCTGTACATAGGCATGGCGATGGCCATTGTTCGGCCATTGATCTTGGGTCATCGACACGATCCCCGGGTTTGGGCCATCAACTTCATAACTCTATTGGTCGGAGCCTGTGGAGTTTACCTGTATACTGAAAAGGAAACTATGTCGCCTTATGTTTACGCCACAACTTGGTCGTTTTTGGTTTACGCCTTTCTGTCTGTTCCGTATTTCTCGAAGTCTACTACGGAGGCCAAAAGGAGGTTGGAACTTATCACCATCAACATGATCACTCTTATCACTCTACTCTCAAACTCCTGGGGATCATTGAATAGCCAACTGTTGATAACCGAATTTGTTTTTGGTCATGAAGTCTATGAGAAGTCTAGGCGAAGCAAAGAAGATGAAGATCTTGTAAAGGAACACGATCCTTTTCTTAATGTGAAGGAATTCTATCGATATGGATTTATGATCCTTCTCTATTTCTATGTGTCCTTTTGGCTGGCTGGTCATTGGCTAACATCGTTTCTCTTCAAGTCCACAGCCGCAAGACTATTTTATCCCCATTTTTCCCTGTATTTGGCTGGCAGCTTGATCCTTCTGAAGATTGCCCTTCCCTCTCTCATCGTCATCTGCTCTCTCTATGGAATGGTACCATTTTTCCGAAAGAATACCAGGGCGATTTTAATCTGCGTTCTAATAATCAGCAACATTATGGGCCTCTATAAGTATTATTTTATAATACATCGAGGATCCTGGTATTTTATTCGCAAGTCTCTGGACCAGATCCTGCTGACCCATGTCGTCATCTTCATGCTGATGGGTTGCATCGGCTTGGCTAAGATTTTCCTGGCCGATACAACGATGGAAAAGCCAAAACGTAAGAATGTCAAGTCTTCCCGGCGAGCCTCGGCTCCCGAAGAAACTGAGGCTTAAAATACTTTTGGAAAGTTCCAGCTAAATTCTATTGATGGAAAATTTAATGTTAATGTGTACTTTGCGGCTTAAAATATAACCAAATTTACTTTTCAACCCCGGAATAGCTTTCGGTTTATTAATAGTCATGGTTTTTCCGTAATGTGAGTAACTCGATCTATTGTTAATGTCACCTCCAACTGCTAATAATTGAAATGTATTCAATTCATTTCGTTAAGTATTTAAGCCTTTGACACAGCATTAGTCGCGCCCTCAACCGACCGGATGTTTGATATTTGTCATAATAATTAGCTGGCATTTGCCTTTTGGCCTGGACTCTGGCACTCCCACTTACCCTTTCCCACTTTCTGGGATGGTTGCGTGGAAACGACTGATTAAATGAGCTATCTGTGTAGCGTTTTCCACTGTCGTTTGATTAAATTTTCCTTTTTTTGCAGCCTATCCCCAAACCACATCCGCTGGGCTTATGTTTGCGATGTCGTCGCCCGTTGAGCCTTTGTCGCCAGCTATTTTATTTGCCTTGGCCAGCTCTGACAGCTTGTTGAGTTTATCCTGTCAATACACTCATGGCCAAAAAGGGAAATGTGGCCGGGTTGGGTTTTCACTGGCCAAAACAGGATTGATCGGCGGACTGATTGATTAATTGACACTTTGCACATTAATTAGCCTTAGAAGCTAGCCCTTTCTTTCGGGATATGGCTTTCAGACATGGGTTTCGTCCTTGGCCTTTGGGCAGATGTTTATTTAGTCACCTCTAAAACAAAAACCGAAAATATAAGAACTTCTCTGATTAGAAATTATGACAACTTACCCAGGAGTTTTTCTTCTGCAAGTTTGCCTTGCATATGCTGGCCAAATTTATCGCTGATTAATAAACTCATTAGAACTTTCCTTTTTTCCTAGTCGCACTGGCACATGGAAGTGAACGAACTTTCGCCGGATTTAATTGGAAAAGTTCAGATGCGCCTTCTCGCCGATGTAAGTCAGTCGTTAGTTGGTCAATATTTATCTCGGCTTAGCACATCGCCTGTACATCGCCGTCTAAATACAGTGTCAGACCTCGACGGGTCTGTCATTGTTGGGCATCTTTATTTTCCATGGAAACCCCCGAAGCGACAGCGAGGCAAAAGCAAGAATAAAAGGATATACACCTATATATATACCTATGTACGAGTATATATCACGGCAAGACAAAGAATTATGCCATCTTGTCGGTTATTAATGAGCCGCAGCCGTAGCCCCCGGAGGGAAAGCTCTGAGTCCCGATTCCCTTTGCATCGACTAAAGTTTCAATTTGGCGGCCGCCTAATGAGAATGCATTTGAAAGGTAAAATGATTAATGTCAGCGCCAGCTTGGGGCTTATCTTTTTATGGGTTAACCACCGTCGGCGCCGCCCACTCGGATTTAATTAAAATAAAAATACTAAAGTTCCTTTTCGTGCCAGCAGCAGCTGTCATGGCCAAAATGTTTTTGGCCAAACTCATTTGGCAATTATTAGATTTGGCAGTTAATTAAAATATTTATAAAAGCCAAATAACTTTATGCGCGAAATTGAATTGATTTGGTAAATATTTACCAGTTAGAAATGTGTTTTTTACCGCGATTTTTCCACGTAAGAAGGGTGAGCTAAATTAATGCAAATAAATGTAACAGACAGATAATTTTATACTGTTGCAGTTTACTCTCTGGTCAATATTAATTATCGCTTAGATCCTCTGGTAGTTTAGTAACTTATAAATTATATAACGGCTGCCAGATATTATACAGTAGAGCTTATTCCATTTTCTAACAATTTGAATGTTTTTTTTGGGTTGTTATTATGCCGCGAAATGGAAAATTCACCAGCTGATGCTGTGGCTGTTTATTTTGCTGTTCACTGATATTGTCGGGGTGCAAATTAGTTAAAACCCAATGGCAATTTAATTTGCTATTAAAATTTTCGGCTATCAAACCAATGATTCATATGCACAAAATGTTTCAAATATGCTTAAAAGTTATATGCAAATTTAATGAATTTGAATGCACTGTGTGTCTGTTTTTTTTTTTTTTTTTTTATTTGATATTTACCTCTGCTTTAAATGCAAAAACCAAAATAAAATCTATAACCAACTATGCCAGGCAATTAATTATGCGAATACTTTTGCAGCCCGGACATCACGGCATTTATTTTTGCCATTTGCAGCCGAGTGCATTAGTTATGCCCAGGTATTTAATGAAGTTGAAATAGTTTTGGAAATATTTCCGATTCCGATGCAGAGAGCGTTGTCCTTTTATTGCAGCTGCATTATTCAAGTGGATTAGCCGTGAATGCTTTTTAGAAATTTTCGACCGCATTGTTGCCAGCTACCACGAGGGATGACAACTTGGTTGCAATCATGAGAAATGAATTTATAAATCCACGGAATTTTATGCAAAGAAAATGGGACAAAAAAATGTCGCATATATAAAATATGTCTACATATAAAATAAACAAATTAAGTTCACATCACTTTTTGTGTAAATTTCTCACATATTTATCCAAATGTCGGTTTTAATAATAAATACTTTTTATGTTTTTTTAACTTTATGGTCACATTTTCGTCTCTGTGTATTTATGGCTGGACATTGTAAAAGCTGACCCAGACTGTTGGCCTCTTTTTGTAGTGATATCTCTTCACCATCGTAAGTGATTCAGGAGCCAAGCGAAATCTGCCATCTTTAATATATTACTATCGCACTTTTCATCACGTTCTGACCTGCAAGCAAACAGACTCACATAACCACCCACACAATAAAACCCCGAAAAAGTTGTTTGCCATTCGAAGTCGTAATTGAGTACGCCGTGCGCATGTATAAATAACAAAGCAAAGTGTCCTGTGGCCTCCTTGGAAAAAAAAGTTTCCTTCTCAGGAGCCATTTTACGGAGTCGTATCTCCTTTGTTTTCTATTAAACAATTGACAAAGTGCCATGTCCTCGGCGCTGGCGCTGGCGCTGGCGCTGGCTGATGCGACTACACATATAAATTATAATTTAATAAGAAAGCAAACGAAAAATTCAATGGCGCCATAAACCATAAAAAGACGCTGCAAAGTGCTACGATGTTTGTGTGCGCGGATGTGTGTCGAAAAACAATAAGCAAACAAAGGCCAGGACGAGACGAGAGTCAACATTGAAATCATCTTCGACGGCGGAAATCGAGCACAAAGGATCGGGAGCACGAGGACGAAGGCTCGATTAAGTAGCATAAAGTGATGATAAATGCGACATTGAGCAACAATAAATTGTTGCCTTTTTGTCTCTGCTCTGGCGGTTGTTTTACTGCCAGGACTCCAGCGATGCCTAGGACTCCCTGGCTTTCCAGGATTTCACACTGCTTGCCATTGACGTGTTTGACTTATTGATGCTGCGTGCCGGGATTAGCTATGCGGCCCACACTGCGTATGAGCAACGCAAATATACCGAAAATCATAAAGCATCGCTGACTAGCATTTGTACGCGTGATAGGTTGTGTGTGAGTGTGTGTATCTATTTGTGCGTGTTTATATTTTCGATGCTCATTCAATTGTTTATTGGTAATTTGAAATTCATTGGACGACAGCATCAGCCGCCAATCCTCTCGAGTTTATGGTCCTGCAGACAGCGCATTAAAGCTTAAAATCAATCGAACTGATTTCTTGGTGGCGGATGCAATGCCATCGATTTGTGCGGCGGCTAATTATGCACTGCGAAAAATGGATGGTAACACAAGGTTTCCAGGCAGTTTACTACTCATCAATATGAATCAATTGCCTTACATTTTGTGATTTATTTGCTTTAAATTTCTTCATCTGTAGGTCAGTCAGTCAGCGGAATTCCATAAAGAGTTCGCCGGTCACATTTGAACTGCATTTGAGGCACACTTTAAGCTTCATTGCAACCAGCATTCCATGCCTCATGGCCAAATGTAAGGGCCAAAGTTTTCCACTTAAAAAACGCGAAGTTGCCTCAATGCTGGAATTGTTTTTCCACAGTATATTTTTTGCTCTTTTTTTTCGTTACACACACCCACAAGCTTTCTGCTCCTCATCTCCTTTAGAGTCTTGGCTGTTTTGCTGCAGTTGGCCGCAAGTCGTGCCACTTGCCACAGGAAAGCCAAACCGAGCTGCTTGCTGCACACCAAGCCCGAGCTGAGTTCGAGATTACTTTGGTTTACATTGTGCTACGTTTGCGGCTTAAATATTGTATTAAGTTTGCTGGCTGGTGATTGGAATGCAACTGCACATAAATAGAAAAGAATGAGAGCGGCGGGCATTCCCATGGCAAAGTTCACCTCATGCAGCTGGCCGCATTTCATTGCAATTTTGCATTATTTGCAACTGGGCTTGGGTTGGCCAACCAGCCGCCGCCGCCGTCAGTCCATTGCCATTGCTCGCTCCATTCAAAAGCCAAGTTAGCAGCCACTTGAGCTTGCTTGCTGCTATTAGTCGGACCAATAAGAGAAGGAACAGAAGCAGGAGCAGTAGCATCAGCAGCCGGATTGCAGACCAAACGGCCCAGGCAATTGCTTAATTGCAACTTAAGCTCAATTTTCCTGTTGCCCCCATCCAACTTCTCGGGTAAATTTCTCTGCTGTATCAGTCTGGGCCTTGTCTGTTTGTTGTTGGCACATAAAATCTTGGCCAGCTCACAATCGTTGCATGTAATGACTGGCATTTGCGGTAGCTCCCGATATGAGACGAGGTGAAAGGATACTGCTTAGGACGAGGCAAGAGCACTCCAAACTGTATGGGCATAGATAAACAGGCCCACTCGAAAAGCCCCCGGGGCTAAGCCCTTGAGCTCTGGCCACTTAAAACGTAAAGTTGCCCAGGTAGAAGGTATTAGAATCGCAAATCCGAGGGACCTAGTGCTATCCTTAAATGTAGTTTAAGTGTGGTCTGCTACTTGCGGCTTTTGCCAGCCGCAAATGATCCTTTTAATGCCGCAAATCGAGTGCCAAACATCAGTGCGCCATGAGTTTTCCATTTTCCTTTTTGTAAACACACATATATTTTCGTTACCATCCTATCCACAACCCAAAATTCAAATCGAGGCGATGAGTACAGACGAGAAAGATAGCAGTTCTCTCGAGAAACCGCCAAGTAGCACAGAAGTAAAAGACAAAGTAGAGTTATGGAAAATGTAAGTAATCCAAAGTTTAGATGGGTTAATAAACTTTCAGGATTTTGTATGTAATTATAACACATTCATATTTGGTTTTCCCTAACTGTTAGTAACAAAGAAACCAAAGAACTAATTATAAAAAACTATTCCGGTAATGGAAATAGTACCTGGGAAACCCTGCCTGAATGCAGCTTGGCGGAAATGGGTTTTGCGGAATGTAGTAAAGATATAAAGTTCCGATTTGAATTTGGCAAAGAGAATATAATCAGAAAAATAACCAATATATTGCAAAACAAAATTGGCACCGATATGGTCGTACATGTGGGCGATCAAGACTTCCCTTGTCATTGGCCTGTTTTGTATTATTACTCGGAATACTTTAAGAAATTTGAGAAAGTGAATGATATTTTCTTAAGCTCGGATAAGGTCACTCCGAAGGGTTTCCAACTGGTCTACGAATGGATGACCGATATAAATGCTGAAATCCCATGGAAAAACTTCGTAGATCTCTATATGGCTGTCGATTTCCTTAAAATTTCAGAACTTCACGAACTAATATGTTGTCGTCTGGACAATCCCAAGTTGCTCTCTGGATTCGAAGCCTTCAAATTTTTCTTGCAGACTTTGCCTTTGAATTCTGCCTTGCTGCAGGATCTTATGTTAACTCGCATTAATAAATATTTTCTGTTGGCCGTCGCAACGGAGGAATATCTCAACCTAGAACCAAAGCACGTCTTCAATATGCTCAACCAGATGAATATGTGTGTCAATTCTGAGATGGAGATGTTTATGAGTGGTGTGAGATGGTTGCTTTATGACTGGCCAAATCGAAAACAGTATGCGGTGACAATAATGCAGGCCATTCGCTTTAATTTGATGCCAGCTTGGTATACCACATCTCTGAAATCAAAACACCAAAATGCGAATTTCCAGGAACTATTGGACATTTCGGAAGTCCAAACTATGATCAATCTGGGCATGTCATTCTCGGTAACCCATAACTTCTTAGATCCCATATCGCCGCTAAGGGAGCCACTCCAGATGCAAAAGCCACACGACCGCCAGTGGGTCTTCAATCCAAAGGTTTCACATCATCACAGATGCGAATGCCCCAAGTGGCGTTTCCTGAGTATAGATGTTTTCAACCAGTATTTGCAGGACATTATCAATGCAGCCATTCAATATGTTCCCTCCCTGGAGAATGTGAAGCCAGGACAGCTGATGCCCTGCTGCCAGGAAGCGTTGGAAAAGAAATCATTAAATACATAAGCCAGTGGAGAGTCTCGACCCGCCCCCTCAGTGTGTGTGCATGTGTATTTGGATGGCTCAAAAACACACCCTTGGGTGCCATATAATTGCCACAAATAATTTCATTAGCCGGGTCGCAACGTTTGGGCTTTGGTTTCGCATTCGCATTAAGCGTTTCCAATTAGTTGAATGGCTGGTATTTTGCTCAATTAATTGTCAACGTTTATGAACTAAGCACTTAGCTGTGTGGACATCTGAAGGTGTGTGTGTATTTGTTTTCCCCCCCCCCCACACACACACACACACACACAACACTCATTCGAATGCGAATGCCAATTCGAGCAAACAAACTACAATCACACATGCAAATGTCATTGCCCCGGGCTGTCAGATCCGCAAGCCGCAAAGAAAGAAAAACAATTTTTGTTTAAACAACACCAAAGCCAGGGCAAATGCTGTAAAACCTGGCGGAAAAACAAACCAATCGACGGGCATAATCAAAATATTTTCACAAAAAATAACACAATTAACATGCAGAAATCAGGAAACAAAATAAAATCGATTTCGCGTATTTTTTCACCACTCATTCTATTTGGTCTTATTTGAGGCTTTTCCGGATTTCACAGCAAATGTTTGAATAACTTTTTGTTTACCTTTGTTCAGCCATTATCCTGCCTTCATAAATTTTTAGCTGCTGCATTAAAACAATAATACAAATGCAATTGATTTGCCCCGCGAACCCCAATACAAACAAAAGGCCAAATAAAAATTACAAAATTCATTGTTTTTTTCAACCCCTTTTGCGTAATTTAATTGTCTGCAGTTGAGGCGCCATGCGATAAATCAATTACTACAGATTAAGCTTCAGATTATTAAGGACTTTTTCTGGCTCTGCCACTCCTTTATTTTCCATTTTTTGGGTACATCCTAAGGGGCAGCTGTGGCTGATGTAATGCGTTGATGCAAATGAAGATAGATGCATCTGTGGCAGTTGCAGCGGCCCCAATAATTGACGCTGAATATGATGAATGAGTGCCAATTACAAGTGAGCGAAAAAGAATCAAAAGACGATTAATGAGTCCGAGAAAGAAGCAATTCGAATGCCAAGTCGTTGGATGAAAAATAAATATTCAGTGTCATTTCAATTTCTGCAATTTATTAAGATATTCGTAGAGGCCTTGAGTCGTTTCAATATGTTTTAGTTTAGTTATTCAAGGGAAATAGTAGGTTCTCCTCTTTAAGGTCATGGCTGAACTCCCAGCAATGTGTTTCAATTTTAGTCTTTTGTCTCTATGAACAAGTTTTATCCAAGCCGACATAAACTACCTATAACCTTACATGTCCCATTGTTCGACTGAATAAACTACGACAAAAAATCCCTTTTGATCTTTCATTGCTCTTTATTGGCTGTTGCATAAAACTGATAATCCTATTGTGGTTTTGCTTGTTCCCTTTAATTGCCCTTACACTACGCTTTCACACACACACACACACTCGCAAAGAAGCGGCTTTAGTTTTCATGTTTTGCGGCGGCTGCGTTTTTGAAGTTCCATTACTCAAACTCTAAGCGCTTCAAGGATGAATCGATTCGAATGGGGCAAAACTGACAGCGGAAGGGTGGCAAACCGTTTGGTGGCAAACTTTATGGTGGGCCCATTGTTTCCATTGTGTTAAACTTACCGAAAAGTTGGCCAATTCAGCCTCCAGCTGGCCGTCACATTTTGAGTATTTTAAACTTAAGCTTAAAGGCCGCCACACTTAAAGCCTGATTAGCTAATTGCTTTTGGCTAATTTGATTTGCAGGAATTTCAATTAAAGTCGACCTCGATAAGATCGCAATGAATGTGGCGGTAATAAGTAGAGGGCAAGTATTTACCAGCACATGGGGCGTATGAGTGATGCACAGAAAATAGTATTGCAGGAAGTAAATAAAATAAAATAAGTATTATTATTTTATGAATATTTAAAAAATAAGATTACACTCTTTAATTATGATGACTTTCCTTTGACTTTATGACTTTCCTTTCCAATTTTTAATGTTTACCTTGAAACCAATATGCAAATTGAAAAGGAAAACATCGTGTGATAGCAATTAAAATATGACGAAGTTAATTGGTTTTAGAAATTTTAATTAATTCCATCAAGATGCGCCATCGGCTGTATTGCAGATAAGAGCTTAACAATTTTTGGGTAATTTTTTTCAAAACGCATTTCCCCAAACCCGACCACAACTACAAGTATGCATAATTTGCTGATTGCAATTAAAAGCAATTATGCTCGGTGTCCTGGCAACCACAAACTCATTAGCTTGTTGCACCAAAACCGCAATGCAGCATATCCCACAACACCAGGAGCCGTAGAGAGGCAGCAGCAGCAGCAGCAGAAGCAGCGACAGCAACACAACGACGACGAAAATTACTTACACATATCTCTACGGGTCAGGGGGTCACCTCGGTCAGTGAGTGTGTGTGGGGTCACCATTTTGAAGGGCCACTCACTTGACCCGCCCTTTGGCCGAATTTTCAAAACGATACGGCCAAAGGGATTGCCGAAACCAAATCGAATCGAATCGCTAGCAAAATTGCACAGCTTGACGCCATCTTTTTGCACAACCAAATCCTTGCCAATTTTTTCTCGTTTTTCTTCCTCTTCTTTTTTATTTTTGAAGCCGAACTCAGTTTTTGACGTGCGTGTGTGAAGTGCTTTCAAACAAAATGGTCACAGCAAAGTGCCCACAGCTCTGGTGGACAGAGGACCGGGTTTGTTTAGAAGGTTTTATGCATATGTCCGACATGTGGAAAATTCCATTAGGAAGTTTTCTTTGTTTGCATACATTTGCATGCTCCTCCGCCGCCGCCGTCGCCTCCTCCTCTGGCCCATTGCTTTCCCTCTCTTTTTGCTGGCCTTCCATCAGAAATAATTTATTTGCGGCCAGGAGCAGGCCAAGATTTTTATTATTATTATTTTGTAATGGTTTTCGAGTGTTTGCAGTAGCTCTACAGAGCACAACACAGCATAACAGAGCGTAGCACAGTAGGGCGAAGAAATGGAAATGATTTGCATAAAATCGATTAAACATTTTCAGCAAATAAAATGCATATTGAAATGAAATGAATAGAAAGCAAGCCATAAGCACCAGCGCAGCAACAATATGGTCGGTCAGTTTTTCCCAAGCCAAGGGCCATGGGTTCTTACGAGATTTCGAAAAAGTCCTCCTTTATCCTGGTTTTTGTTTGTTAAGTGGGGGTAAGCAGGATAAGCAGAGGACCACTCACTCTCTCTGTGTGTATCCAAAAGATTTATCAAATATTGCCCAATCGTTTCACCTTACGTCGTATATTTTATGGCAAAAGTATTGCAGCATCCACGTTCCCCGTGCCCCGTTTCCCACTCAAAAGCAATAATGGCAAAATGAAACAAAATGCATTTAACCTAAATTGCTTTGCTAAGAACTTGATAATAATCGGGCCACATAATAAACTCGACTCGGCAACTCAATGGCCTAATTTATATGCCACTCGTCGCTGCACGGAGCTCAAATATTTTTCAATCATTAAAATATGGAATATCCATACACAGACATTAATTATGCTCAGACAGCAATTACACTTGAGACCAGGAAATTGACAAGCCAGCCCGTAAGCCCATGGACATGCTCATTTAGGCAAACAATCAAGGATACCAAAATGCCAAAACGACTTGGCTTAAATATGATAAGTTCAATAGGCCAAGTTAAAGAGGAATTTTAACCAACATTTACGGCAAAACGAGCCAAAGAGATGTTCAATCCAGTTGGGCAAACAAATATCAAAGTTATTTGTACTTAATTTCTTAAGCAAGCAAAGTTAATTAATTACTAGACGACTTAAAGAGCAACAGAGTTGTTGTGAATGACCTTTGTTTCGGAATTACAATAATTTAAGAACTTGCGCTCCAACTCACTGGAAAACTCACTTAGCAATCTAGTGGATCAGGCAACCCACTCTCACTTCCAATTTTACACTGCAGCACACTCTGGCATTAATGGCAACTTAAGCTGCCCTAAGATGCAACAATAGCGGGCACATCAAATATAAATGATGCCCCCGAAAACAGCTGGCCACTCCTCCTCCTTCGACTACCAAAATATATATACAGTACACCCGCCCACAAGGCCACAGTTCGTCAGCCGAAATGCAAATGCAAATGGAAGCGAAAATTAACGTGCATTTCACTAGCTTTTCCTGCCGTCGCTCCCTTGCAGCAAAAGTAGAAAAAAAACAATTTCGGATACAATTTAAGAAGGATTTTGTTTTTGGCTCTTGCTCTTATTATTGTTATTTCCGCTCTGCATGGCTAATGAAGCAAAGCGGCCAAAACGGCAAAGAGCTGGCTAACCCTGAACTACAAACAGCCACAAAACGGGGGCAGCTGCAATTTTTCGACAACTTTCGACTGCGGTCGCCTGCTCAAGATACAAAACTGCAATTCAATTGCCCGCCAGGCAGCCAAGCAGCAGTCCAGGCACTTTAAGGCCAGTTGCAATGAAAAGAGCAGAGAAAAAATGTTCTAAAAAATACGAGCAAAAAGAAAATTGCTTGCAATAAATTTCGAATTAAATAGAAATTTGCACAGTCAACTACTGCGGGTTGAGTTGCCGTTGCGAAAAAGATACCGAAACCGGAGGGCCAGGCAGCTAGCTGGCAAAAAAATGCAAATCTCAACTAATTCTTATAAATTATTTAATAAGAAAAAGTCAAATGATTCATTTTTAAGCTGCACCCTTCATCACCAAAGCTCAGCTGGAGCACAAAATGCTGGGAGGTGGCCGAAACGGCAGCTGGGGAAAGCTATAAAAAGTGCAGCAAAAGAGAAAAGTCAGGACCGGAAAATGGCAAAGACTGCAGAAACAAGAATGGAAAGCTAGCTGCGAATACCCTTGCACACTAAACTGTGAGCTGAAATACCGATTTTCTTTAAGCTCATCCAGGATTCATTTGTAATTTTCAAGTGCCAGAGTTTTTATAGCTTTCTCTTTATTTCTACTTTAGGTTTAAGGGTTAAAGGAATCTTGTAATTAAGTTTTGGTTAATATTAGTAGACTATACCCTTTTGAAAGTAAGTAAAATATTTTAAAGATTTTTTGTTAACAAAAAATAAAAAAAAATTAAATTTAAATTGAAAATATTCATCTAGTAAAAGGTAATCAGAGTACTTATGATAACGTTAAGGTTCATAATGCATATTTGGACCAAGATTACTGGACACTCTGTAAACTTTCTTTAAAAGTTGTTAGGCAGTGCTCTTTCCCAGGGTATCTACTCTTCGACTACATAACCCAAACTATGTGTACCCTGCTTTTGCAGCAAAACGGTGATGATTTACCGTCAAACTGCAAGTGAAGTGATGTTGTCAAGGAGCGGTTCGCTCGCCTGAATTGGCAGCATGTGTCGCCGACAGTCGAGGCGTAAATAAGTTTGCATGCATCGACTAGGAACACAACAAAAAAGTGCTAGGAATAGAGAACTCGAAAAAAAAAATCCTTTGTTCGATGGCAATAGTCAATATTAATGTGTCACACACACTTTCCAGGCCAAGCAGCACAGTTCGTGCGTGAGTGTGAAAAAGCGAACGAAATGTTGTCCATCGATTAATATTCACGATCTCACTGGGCACTCAGTCGAGCGAGAACCACGCCCTCTATTGGAATAGGGGGAAAGTGGAAAAAGTGAAAAGTGAAAAGTGAAAAGCGCGCCAGCAAAGTCAAGTTATACGCTGAATTTGTTGCATACAATGGGGCGCAGCGTTTTGCCTTGCCTTTGCTTACAGAAATGCGGTAACAAAGAGCCCAGAAGAAGTAAAAAACTCGCAGCTCGAAGCAAAGAAGAAATGCTGCTGCTGCTGCTGCATGGCAAATGTTGAATGTTGTGCACATGGCAGTTTATTCATGATTTCACATATTTTCAAAACCCCTCACCACCTCCCACCATTGTTGGCAAAAAATATTGCCTCTCTGTGTGTGTAAGCTTTCTGAGGATGAGAAAGTCTCTGGGACACAAACGCACACACACACATTTACATGCTGAAGCCATAGCTTTATACCCGATTTTGTTTTTCTGCAACGCGGGGTTCTTCTCCCTTGGACTTTTCACTGCACTAAGACAAACTTTTTTCAGCTGCCTCTTTGTAAACTTGCATTTTTATGGTTTTAACATGTTTACTTAAATTCTTGTGTATTTGTCTTGTTGGCGTGACTGTGACAAATGTTCAAAGCGAGCACCAGCTAAAAAAACTGCAATACTTTTATTTTATTTTATTATGCAAAATAATAAATTCGGTTTTATTATGTTTAAGGTTTGGAATGTGTTACTAGTTAATAGCCACACGGAATTACGATGCGGTAGGTCTGTCACAAATTTCAGACAAAGTTGCAGACTTTGCATATATGCAGTTCCTGATAAAGATAATCCATATGGGGATGCCTACGGCGACAAGCAAACTGATAAGCCTATTATAATTATAGCCATAATTACCCACTTATCACTGAAATCATAGCTAAAGATATGGTTGTTTCGGAAAAGATTTGATTCTTCTAACCAAATGTATAAAAGTTGTAAAGAGAGTTTATTAACTGATTAAAGGTCAGGATGAATATACCTCTATCATTATCTAATGTTAATGAGCTTTAGATAACATATCACTTCTCGCTTAAAAGTAGCTCGCCTACAATGTATCCAGTTAGTATAAAGATAACATTTCACTTTTCGTTTAAAAGTAGCTCGCCTACAATGTATCCAATTAGTGTATAGCTAGCTGCGTCAATATGATGTTGACAACTTTTCTCTTTCAATTGGTGGTCGCCTTAATGGCGATCGTTACCTACATTAAACATCGAAGACAAACATACTTCAAACGTCGTGGGATTCCACATGATAAGCCTCACTTTACCTTAGGAAACATGAATGGATATAAGAAAACGAGGACCGTTCACGAAATCTACGAAAGTTACTACAAAAAATATCGGGACAGCAAGGCTCCTTTTGTGGGATTTTACCTCTTCCAGAAGCCAGCTGCTTTTGTCATAGACCTGGAGCTGGCTAAACTTATTCTGATCAAGAACTTTTCGAACTTCTCTGATAAAGGACTGTTCTATAACGAGAAAGATGATCCCATGTCGGCACATCTCTTCAATCTGGACGGACCACAGTGGAGATTGCTGAGAAATAAACTATCCTCGACTTTTACATCCGGCAAAATGAAGTTCATGTATCCAACGGTAGTATCTGTAGCCGAGGAATTTATGGCTGTAATGCACGAGAAGGTATTGGAAAACTCTGTCGTGGATGTACGGGATCTGGTGGCCAGGTTCACAGTGGACGTCATCGGAACCTGCGCCTTTGGCCTCGAGTGCAATAGTCTGCGAGATGAGAAGGCTGAGTTTTTGCACTTCGGCAGGCGCGCTTTATTGGAACTGCGATATGGTCATCTGGTAAGCGGCCTCATGCGCAGCTATCCAAACTTGGCCAGGTTCTTAGGTTTAAGTCGATACCCCGATCAAATTCAGAACTTCTATCATAGAATAGTTACTGAGACTGTTACCACACGGGAAAGAGAGAACATTAAACGGAATGATTTTTTGGACATGCTTATTAATTTAAAAAATCAAAAGGAAATAACTCTTGAGAATGGCGAGGTGGTCAAGGGGCTAACCATGAATGAAATCATTGCCCAATCTTTTGTGTTCTTCATTGCTGGCTTTGACACCTCATCCTCCACAATGGGATTCGCTCTTTATGAACTAGCAAAGAATCCTCATATCCAAGATAAAGTCAGAGCTGAGTTGGAGGAGGTTTTAGAGAAACATGATCAGAAGTTTACCTATGAGTGCACCCAGGATCTTAAGTACCTCAACCAAGTTATAAGTGGTTAGTAAAATTCTGTTAACTCAACTCATCCCAACTAATTTACAAAATTTTTTCAGAAACCTTACGGCTTTACACCATTATTCCCAATGTGGATCGAGTGGCCGCCAAGCGTTTTGTGGTTCCTGGTAATCCGAAGTTTGTCATCGAGGCTGGACAGTCGGTCATCATACCATCAACGGCCATACACCACGATCCCAGTATTTATCCTGAACCCTACGAGTTCCGTCCTGAGCGATTCTCCCCTGAGGAATCTGCAAAGCGTTCATCAGTTGCCTGGCTGCCTTTTGGCGAGGGTCCTCGAAACTGTATTGGACTGAGATTTGGTCAGATGCAGGCCCGCATCGGGCTAGCTCTGCTCATCAAGAACTTTAAGTTTTCCACCTGCCCTGAGACCGCTGATCCTCTCAGCTTTGATCCAAATTCCTCTATTCTACTAGGACTAAAATGTGGAATTCATCTCAAACTGGAAGCACTATAAATGAAATGTGTGCCATGTACGTTCTTAAAATCTCATATCTTACCTTAAACCTTATAAAGTTCTGATATATAAAACTTTCTTAAAGAAAAATGAATAACAATTAATTGCCTTTCTTGATAACATCTGCTCTATTACTTTTTATTTTCCTTTTCCCATTTCCATTTTAGCAAATATCTATAGATTCCACTATTCATGAGAGTTGGCTGTAATGAAGCGACCCGTTGGCATTGCATATGCTGATAACATTTTGATCCTTATTGCTGGGCTCAGCATTTACCAATTACCGTAGGCAGGGACGGGACTCCTAGCCACTCCACTCCACGCCTATAACTGGGTTTTAGCTCAGGCCCGCATGTATTAATTCTAATTAAATTTGTTATTCAAAACGAAACTCGGGCACGTCCTTGCTAGCCATTTTGCAAGTGTTAACCTTTTTCCCGGCCATCCGCTGCCCAGGACTACGTTAAGCCTTCGAAAATGGACCAGCCGTCGGATTGGCGACGATTTGCACACCGAAAAGAGAAGGCGGAAGAATGGAAGGTTGTAAGGAAGGGGCATCAACCTTGACATTTTTGCTGCCAGTTTCTGTTTTCATTACACTAATGAAGTCATGCGCCACGGTGCGGTATGTAGGCATACACATTTGCTATAAGGTATATGGAAGAGTAGGGGCTTGCGACCAGTTTTCGGGGTCCAGATCCTGCCAAACGACTGTCAGACACATAAAAAAGGTGTACTCGTGTGAGTCGGTTGGCATTTCTGTGTGCCTAGGCCCGTATTTAGCAATGGCAGCTGCGCCTCATTACCCCATTTTATTGTGCCTAGCGTGAGTGATGCCGTGGTAGTCTTAACACTGTCAAAGCCCTACACTCTGGCACATAATTAATGCAAAATGCAAACGTATATTCATGGCTGGTCGCAGCACTCGCATAACGCATACGCCGTGTGGCAATAAAGGGCTTTAAAGCTTTAAGAGTCTTGTTCAGCGGTGGCACAAGTCACGTTGCCAGTCTGTCGACAGATGTAATTTAAGGCTATTTTACAATGGTTTTTAAAGTGAGATTTTTTGAAGAATCAAAGTATTGTTTGATTTTTCCTATTAAATATTATCGAGGATCAAAATTCACTTACAAGAAATATATGTAAAGTCGTAATAATTTTAGTCCTTTTATTCCACCCCTTTTCTCACAAAATACCTCAAAATGTACATCATCCATGCCTGGGAGTCCACCAAAAGTGCCAAAAAAGGTTTCCAGTTTTCTTTGCAATTTTACCCTTACACTTTATCTGGTTTCCAAAGCCTATTAAAAAATTAAAGCTTTAAGCATTTGAACTTCAGAAACTGCACAAGTCAAGTTAGCTAGCAACGCTAAATTGTAAGACGACAGAAATATTTCAACAGGAATTTACGGCGCGAGCACACTAAATGCTCATTTAGTTTGCACTTTTATTTAGAAACTTCTTTTGCACGTTTGCCAAATTGTCTGCGGTGGCCAAAGCCGCCAACAAAAAGCCAAATACCAAAAACAACAACAGAGTTTCTCTATGTGTGTGTGTCTGAGTGTGTGTGTGTGTGTGTGGCAAAGTGCAATAATAATGAAGGTAGGAGGCGTAAATTTCGCTTTGGCTGCAGGGCGAGAAAAATGGTCTGACTGCAACGAACTGGGCACCCCATGGTGGCAGGATCCTGTGGCGGAGCCACCTTAGCAACCACCCGCCCTTCACACCTGTACAGGTGAGCCATGTTGTCAGCGGAAGGTAGCTACAAATTCTCGTTGCAAAAGCTTTTAGTGAATTTATGGCAAGGAAATTCCTTTCGCTTCTGCTCGAAAAAGCAGCCTGCACTGCACTGGTCGGTCGTTTGTTTATGTCTTGGTCCTCAGATCCAGACTCACAGCTCCAAACTCCTTTAAAACTGGAAAGCTGCCGGCTCCACAACACTTGGCATGTGTACAAACGGCTTTATAAACTTTGGATTCTGGGCATAATGCACTCCCACTCCCATTCCCATGCCCACTTTTCCTTTTGGCCAACACAGATTCGCACTCGTAGGGCCTCACCACGAGTGCCTAATGAGCCCCAACAAAGGCGTGCTCCGCAATTTTCGCAATTGAAAGCCAAAACTTTGACATGGCAAGGCCAACACAACGCAACACAACTGGCAGCCAGGCAGCACGCACAATTAATTTGCAAGGAGCTCACGCACTTCCCCACTCACTTGAAAACAATTTGCCATATGCATTTCCACAAATTTGCGAGACTTCTTTGCCATGCCGCTGCTTTCACTTATTTTCCTCTTTCGTTCCTTTTTTTTTCTGGCATCTGTACTCGTATCAATTACCTGGCCATGTTTTGCAAATTGCCAACAACCTTGAAGTGTTGAGCCTCGCCCCGGCGCCTGGCATTCCTCCCTTCGCTCAGCCACTGAGCAAGCTGCCTGCATCCTGTTTCATTTCTCCTTGGCCAAAAGTTGATTCAAGTTTATTCAAAAACAAATTTAACTTTTAAGTCATCAGCGAGAAGCGGCGAAAAGTGGGAGATAGAGACCCCAGGCAGCTGCCATATGCTGCAGTCCTAGGTGAGTCCTACACGTGGAAAAAATTGGTGGACATTCGAACTGCGAAAAGACAATCTTTTAATACAAGGAATTATGACGTTTGTTGAAAAAGTTTTATTTTAAAGTCATATATGGAAGTTTTCAATATAATGAATAGCTTATGACTCTTTTTTAATTTTCAGTATTTACAGGAATTATATCTTCAGCGAATTATTTCTTTCAGTGCTTAAATTTGAACTCCTCTCAGGGATGTAGCGCGCAGATTATTCTGATAGTTTTTCTTTCAGTCCTATCAAGAGCGGTAGCATCTTCTTTATTATTTTCCTTTCGTGGAATATTTTATTGTGGAAATTACGTTAGCCTGCATACATATGCAGGATGCTTGTGTTGGGTGGGGGAGGGGAAATGGAAAGGATCTGCATCTTTATTCTGTCTGCCATTGTTTAACTGGAGGTCTTCGCTTTCGCTCTTCTGCAGGCCCGTCAGCGAACCGAATTCCCAGCAGTATTTGCATTCAACTTAATTGCGTTTTAAGTAGATTTGTGGTGAAATGTGTTTGTACGGATGCGATTGTCAGACTGCATTATATATATAATATATATATGGATACAGCATGACCGACTACGGAAAGGGTATGGATACTATAGCTTGCAGCTTTTCTTACAGACATTTCCCTCGTGGAAGAGCTTAAAGTTAAATACAGGCAGACTCTCACATGCGATTACGTACAATATCGAAATACAAAGGTGGCTGGATAATTAAGTTGGGGAAATATTTAATGAAATCATTTCACTGATTGCAAAAGAGAAGATATATAATTTCAGCTGAAGAGTTACAGAAAACATTAAAGGGCTTAAAGTCGATGGTGTAATTATTTTCAGCGGATCTATAATAAGCACAGAAATAATTAGGTTCGGTTTCGATTTCAAATCCATATCAACGTCGAACGACAGGAATTCCCCGTCAGCATTTCTGCATTATTCGCATTGAATCCCTAAACCGACATTATTTTAACGCGCAAAAATCTCTGCGGCAGCTGTCTGAGCTGGGCTCGTATTCTTTATTTTATTTTACCTTTCACCCAGGTACACGTGTCAAACTAATTTCACATTTTGTTGCCTTTTATTCGTTGGCGCATTTGTGTCACCTGCCGAGCCATGGAGCTGTAGAGCTGTGAAGCTGCCTAGCTGCACCACGCCCACTCCATGCCATTGCCGCCCCCACAATGCTGTTGGCGCATTGAAATTCATAAAATATTTGCACAGCGAAATAGGCTACGAAGGCTGAGGCTTCGGGCGGAGTATTATGTGTCAAGCACGTTTGAATTCAAATTCAAATATTTGCCAGAGTCGACAAACAAATAAGCGCAAATATGGTAAACAGCAATAAGCAGCTATGCCAAAAGCTGAGCGAACTGAACAGAAACCCGTGTATTCCACGGATTTGAGTCCTTGTGAGGACTCTTACTCCCACCCCAACTCCTTCTTTTACCTTTCCATGAAAAATTCTTTAGCACCCGAATATAATGCTGTCACCTTGGCAGTCATCTGAGCTGTTTGTTGTCTCAAAGTGTCTCAGTCTTAATTTCATACACATTGGTAAATATTCAATGGACAGCCAGAAAGCTCTTCATGTGTAAAACCGACAGGAGCAAAAACAAAAAAGACAATCGGCTTAAAAGCTCGTCTTTTCCTTGGCCTCAAAACGAGGAGGACAATTGATAAAAACACTGAGCTGGCAATTCCTAAGTCGACTAATCCCGTCTGCGTAAATTGTCCCCACCTTGTAATGCCAAATCAAGCAAAGTCTAAAAGCTGAGTAATTATGGATACATAAATTAAAAATTGTTTGACATAAATGAAGTTGCTATTTTGGTCGAGCACGTAAACTTTATAAATTTAAATTTAAAGCAAAAGAAACTAAAAGCAATTTACAGAACTGAAATATAATATTTGTGCCAATATTGCACATTAAATTTAAATAAGAATTTATATGCTCTTAAACGACCTCAAACCTCTTTAAGAAAAGCGGAATAAATAGGACAGAGAATGGGGCAATGGAGCGACGACTTGTCAATGAATCGATTATGATTTGTGGCTAAAGTATAGCACACTTATATGGGCTGCCTACACAACTTTCTGCTGGGAATATATTTCAGCGCGAGTTTGCACATTCGCAGTGCCAAAGAATGCGCCGAGGGACAATAAATCTTCGATTGTTTGCCCCAAAGAGACCAAAGGATGTGTCTTTGCTTGTGTGTGAGTGTATCTGGATGTGAGCCTGCGGCAGGACATCCATTTTGGCCATTTCGGCATTTTGCGTTCTGCTCGCCACATTTGCTGGCCTAATTGCGCCGTCTGCCAGCCAGCCAGTGAAATAAAAAGCGCAAAAGCGAAAGGCAAACAGGCAAACAGAGGACTGTCGTCACGCTTCAAAACCCCACAAAGTCCTTACTACTTTTGATAATTGTCCCAGTGACCTTTTCTGAGGCAAATATGCGATCAAATAACAAGTGAGTTTCCAGTTGATATCAATGAACTCCGCTACTCGCCCCCGCCCGTTTAACCTTGCCAATTATAGTGAAAAATAGAGCCAAACATTCCAAAAGTCTGCGATGGTGGAAAGAAAAAATAAAAAGAAAATAAGCGAATTCGGCAATAAATAGCTATAGCCATGGTGAAAATATATTTTTAGTTGTCTCGGTCAGTGCGAGGTCCTGTCCGATTTGGAGCTCCAAGTCCGAAGACTGCAGGCGACTTCGACTCGCTGCCAAGACAAGATAAATGATGTTTCCAAACTAACACACACGTACAGCTGAGGATGAAATAATAATGCTAAGATGTATAGCATGTTGACTAAAATATTGCAGCATACTTTTAGACAGCTTTATAATTATTGTTGATTCCTTAGTTACTAAACCTTATGTGTTAAATACTTTATTTTTGTTTGGAAAATTCTACATCTTACCAGTTTGACCACCACTGTATATGTTGTTATCACTTAGCTGGCCATGTTAGCTGCCATCTTGCTGACTTTTTGCAATTGTCTGGTCGGGGATTGTCAGGACTTTTGACTTCTTCTTTCTTTTTTTCCCTCGGTCCCCTCTCTATCATTTTTTTTTCATTCCCATCTCTCATAATGATTCCGTTGTGAGAAATGCAATTATTTTTGATTGTAGTTTAAGGTGCCATGTTTGCATTGCTCGCCAAATGCCGCACATTTATCACACTTCCTGGCCCCTTCTGAACGGAGGGGGACATTTTTGCAAGTCAAGAGAGAGAAGGCGACATGGAATTTATTGAGCCAGTCTGGGGCAATATATCAGACGCAGCATTTGTCAGGCAGTGCCAATAGCTCTAAACTGAATTGAACTTTGTTCTTATTGATTTTCAACACAGCAACATCGTTCTATTCCTCTTTTTCAGGTTCTGTGTGATGCGTGTAGTAATTTTGGCAATTTTAATGCCATTAAAAGCAGCCTAGCCCCCAAAAAGTTGCAAATGATGTGCGAAGAATGGAAATGTTGCGAGTATTGTTCGTATTTATGCAATTTGTGGCAGCTGCTCGAACAACCGCAGCTACAAGACTCATGTAGAGAACTCACACCATTCGGAATCTGGTACCACCACACAAACAGCCGCAACAACAATTACAACAGCAACAAGACTCCTATGGAATTTTCAATTAAATTGCAAAATCAATTTTCAGCAAATTAGCATATTTATATTTGCATATTTTTAATGGGCTGACGAAAAGGGAGCACAGGTCACAACAGGTGCGAAAAGGGAAATTGTGCCAAATTAAAATCAGATAACATGGAATGACTTACATCAGAGGAGCACACATGAGCCACGAGGAGTTGGGGATTCAGTCGTCGTCACCGGCATCTGTGCCAGAGGCGCGTGTCTGATGTTCAGAAATCAGCATTAGAATTGCGTATACAAAACCAGAGTTATCCTAGCCTTAAGCGACTTCAAACCGCTCACCAAACACCCACTTCCGGGAAACTCAAAGTCAGCACTCCTTGGGGCCACGTGCAGGGCACTTAGTAATGCCACTGCCTACGGAATATCATAACCATATAGACGACTCATCCCGTGGCAAGTATTTCGATAATTACATTTGGCAACTGCTGCCTCTTCTGCTGGGCGAATTATTCCGATTGGGTAGGTCGAGGAGTATACAAAGTGGGAATTAATATAAATTATATAAAATAGGAAAGAGGTTTTCTTATTTTTTGCTTCAACTCTTAAAAATGTGTAAAATAAAAAAAAGATAAATCTTAGACAAAAATAGAAGTTTGGCAGTTTTTAAGGAATGTTATTCATCTTTCTTTTTAAATAATATTTGATGTTAGAAGATTAAAGTAGACTAGCAGATGACATTTAGGCCAGACCTCTTTCTTATAATTTCTTTTATCACCTTAAAACTTTTCCATCGTCCCCGGCTTAGTATTCGCTTATACATTTTAATTTATTTATACACGTTTTTACCCCCAAACAGCGAAATGGTTTCCCCCCAACTCATGCACATGTGTGGCCACAATTTTGGTATACAAATTACAAAATTATACAAATCAACGCCGCACAATTGCTTCAATTGAACCCAGACCAGAGGCCTTAACATCAAGGGCCAAGATGGTGTTTCTCATATCTGTACGACTGCTATATGTACAAGTATATAGGTACACCCCGAAAGATCCTGACGGTGACGGTGATGGTGTTGGTGTGGCTGGCAGAGATTAGAGTCACTCCAGACGAACAATCAAAGACAAAGCGCCCTCGACACCTGTGCTGAATTATGAAGCCCACTTGCAGACAGCGAATTGCGGCTGGATCAATCGCAGTGTAGAGGTAGAGGTTTGGGGGTGCTTTTTGGGTGGTAAGGGTGAGGCAATTAAGTCATTACTTCATACACAAACACACATACACCTACTGATACTCCCGTCAAAGGCGTTCGTTCTGCAGGTGTTTTACAAGTGTGCAAACAAAGTGCCACGGTGGTTGCATAAAAACCAGTAAAGCGGATGTAAGTGTCTGCCTTCTCTGAACTGGCTTCGTATGAGTGTTTTCGTTTGTATATGTATACTATGTATGTATGTACATTTCCCCGTTTGTTTGCCAGTCTTCGCTGTGGTTGCAATAAAGGCATGCAAATTTATGTGCCCCACCCCAACCACCGATGCCTGCCTGCCACGCCTCCTTGCCATATTTTTGATAAGCAATTTTCATCGCTCCCAAGAGCTATGATTGTGTGTGTGTATGTTTGTGCATGAGTGGTGGTGAAATGAAATTAACAAATCATTTCACTTATGGGCACTGGGGCATCTGCTTCCACTTAGCTCCGGCATCTCTTTGATGCTAATTTGAATGGGAAATGTGTCATTTCGGGTGATTACAAAAGGATCTTATCAGCAGGCGCAGGCACCCTCAGTTGGGGACGAGAAATTAAAACGTTTTTCACAACTTAAATCTCGATTTTTTAAACGCATTGCAGACATCTCTACTAAAAATTTACAAAATAAATTGTTGGTAAATACTAAAAAAAATGACTGTTTTACCAAAACGTTAAACCCTTATACTTGCTTTTCTGTGTTATTCTTCTGTTTCGATGCTGCGAGTGCCGACTTAATGGCTAAGAAAGCTGGAAACCCATTTTTAACAGAAATTTGCAGTACTATGTTCGGGTTTTTAGCTCTTGCTCGGTCAAAACAAGACGCACAGCCAAAAGGACAACTGTTTTGAGCTCCTAACGACCAAAACTAACCACCCCTATCACTCGTTTTTCGATTTTGAGAAAATCAATTTTCGGCTAAATTTCGCATTTTTTATAAGGGGTACCATCATCAAAATTTTCGAAAAATGGCCGAAAATGAAGTTTTCCCGATTCGAGTGCAAATCGATTGGGAATCATAGCAATCAAATTACAAGCCCTACGAGGTATTACATTGATCATTTGGGCCATTTTTGGCTGTGCTATGGCTAAATAACTGATTTTTTTGAGCGCAAAGTAAAGAAAACGTCTTTTGACAGCAGAGATCTCGATTTTGTTGCCGTTTCTTAGCTCTTACTTTGTCAAAACAAGACGCACGTCTAAAACATTGATTGTTTTACGCAGCTAACAACCAAAACCTTAAACCCTTATACTTGCTTTTCTGTGTTATTCTTCTGTTTCGGTGCTGCGAGTGCCGACTTAATGGCTAAGAAAGCTGGAAATCCGTTTTTAACAGAAATTGGCAATACTATGTTCGGGTTTTTAGCTCTTGCTCGGTCAAAACAAGACGCACAGCCAAAAGGACAACTGTTTTGAGCTCCTAACGACCAAAACTAACCACCCCTATCACTCGTTTTTCGATTTTGAGAAAATCAATTTTCGGCTAAATTTCGCATTTTTTATATCATCAAAATTTTCGAAAAATGGCCGAAAATGAAGTTTTCCCGATTCGAGTGCAAATCGATTGGGAATCATAGCAATCAAATTACAAGCCCTACGAGGTATTACATTCATCATTTGGGCCATTTTTGGCTTAGCTAAGGGAACAATACTGTCGGATTGAGGGGAAAAAAGTGTAAACCGAATTTCAAAATTTACGATTCATACAAATTTTGAAACAAAATCAAAAATTTTGACATTTTAAACTAATAATGCAGTTTGACTAGGAAATCGAAAACAAACTCATCGAGGTATGGCATTCTATATGTTGACCATTATTAGCTTAGTTATGGCCATAAAAATGCCAATTTTGTGGACCAAATCAAGGATAAACAAATTTTGCATTTTCGATACAACAATTTTGCATTTTGAGATAGGAAAAACATAATCTCTTTTAGCAAAATATAATATCCTTAAATGAAAATACTAAAAGGAAACACTTCATAAACTAACAAACCGAATTTAAAAATTCCACTGATGATTATTTGCATTTACAACGTCTATCCGATTACGGCACTTAGCCAATTAAAAACAGAGTGCTTCGTGGAAGGAACTGCAGTCATGGGTCAACTTCCCGGAGAACTACACCGTGCCTCATTGCTGCACATTCAACGACTGATGAAGTGCATGGGAATTCTGCCCTATAGTCAGAGCCTTTCCGCGAAAGTATTTAGCAGTGTAATCCTTTTGATTGCAATTGCCATTTGTACTTACCAGCGTTTAAATTTTGACTACGATTTGGGATACGATTTTCAAAACGATCATTTTTCGGTCACCATTGATCTGACCAACTTTGCAGCCCTAATTGCAAGTCATGTAATCATTGTATTGGAATTAGTGTGGGGACATGGCAGCAAGGATGTGGAAAGGAAACTCCAGGCAATACATATTCAGATAAATATGTACTTGGGTGTACCGATTAATACAAATAGAGTTCGACGATATTGCAATGGTATTTATGCATCCTTAGTCATAAGATGGATTATATTTTTCCTCGTGACTATCTACAATAACCGGGCACTCACATTCTATGCCATGTATTCGGAATTTATATTGCTGGCTCGATTCTCCGAGTTTTCTTTGTACTGTGTTGTGGTTTTGTTCCTTTACCAGGAACTTATCGTTGGAGCTTCAAAGGTTCTGGAAGAATTGCAAAGAACTCGATTTGAGCTGTTTTCCATTCGTCGCTTGTCGCTGGAAAAGCTGGTTAAATTGCAAAGAATCCATGGCTCATTGTGGCAATCTATCCGGTGCTTGGAGCGCTATTTCCAGCTAAGCCTTATCACTATGCTCATGAAATTATTCCTGGATACTTCGGCATTGCCGTACTGGCTATATCTTAACATAATTCAGAGCCCTGAATTACCCGTAAAATGTTGTTAGTATTTTTTAATCATTATTTAGTTAGTTCAACCTCATAACCTAACTATGTTCAATATTTGGTAGATGTTGCTACTGATGAGTGCATCAAAATCTTAGAAATTATAGTGCCCTGCTACATCTGCACAAGATGTGATGCACTGCAGCGTAAGTTCAGGTCGATGTTCTACACAATCACTACAGATCGGCGAAGTAGTCAACTAAATACGGCTCTAAGAAGACTTAACCTACAGTTAAGTCAGGAGAGATGTCAATTCAGTGCAGGAGGATTAGTGTCTATAAACACGGAAATGTTAGGCAAGGTGAGCTATAACTCAAATTCCCACACAAAAATATAAATAAACTTAAAATGTATCCTAGTTTATCTTCGGAGTATTCAGCTATATTATTATCTGCATACAATTTAGCATCAACCTGAGGTCCAGCAGCTTCAACAAACTGGTAGAAAGTTCCACACCCAGTGCCCCCATTTAAATGACCTTTTGGTATCGATTATTGTTGGTCAGTCTAGTCGCGTGCTTATTAAATTAAAGTCAATTAACCTAATTAGCAAATTTGATGTCTGCCCGTGCATAATCAAAAAAGGACAACGAGGCAATCAAAGCAGCAGCTGGTGGAAAGACTTCGTCTCACATAATTATTCATGCTTAAAAATTCTATTATAAACTTTGCCCGGCGGCCACTGACCGTTCGTGTGGGAGGAAGGACCCAGGGAGATCCTGGACATACTTGTGCTCATGTTTCGGGCTTGTTGGCCACGCATGGCCAATCTGTCAGGGGTCCATACGTGGCCAAGTGTGTTTATAACGTACACTTGTAGACATATTTATAAAGAAATAAGCTAAATTTAATAAATTTATAAGTAAATATATCCCAATTTTTATTTCAAATAAAACTTAAAACGAAGCAAACAAACTGTTGGTATTCTAAAACATTTGGTAGATCCTTAAAAAGCCTTTGGTTTTTTTCTTTAAACTTAACATATTTCAAGATTTATTTAAAAATTCCTATAAGCACATACTTTTGATACATTTCTAACACATTTCCAGTGTTGTTTAGATTTTTCAGGAAATAAACTGTTTAGAGTGTAAGGGGGCGAGCCTGCTTGAAGTTAGCCACTCAGGCAATTGTTGCCACGCTCAGATTCATGACCAAGTGGGCATACATAATACTCCTACTTTCTTCAAATATCCGCACGAGTAGGCCCAGAGTCTGAACCTAAGGCAGACATTTCCAACGGTTTATGATAAATCGAATTGAATTTAATAGATGTGGGAGGATGTGGAGTCGAAACATGGTCATGCGGTAAATCTTACACTTGTAGGGCACTTCATTAATCAAGATGAATTTTTCATTTGTTGGTTCTCAAAAATTTTTCAAAAGTAAAATCCTGGGTAGCACTTCTGAAAAATGAAGGATCCAATAAACTGCAACTGTTCCCTGTCATATGCGACATGACAATGCTCTTCTCCATTGATTACGGATCCTAACGAGCTCCCTGACACTTGACACATTGGATATCAAGCAAAATTTCCGAACCGGCTTTGAAATTTTCTTTCATTGACACTGCGTTTATCAGCCAGGTGAACACTGGGAAAAATATGAGTCAGATGACTTACTTGACCTTTCATATACCTCTTACTGATCTTCAACATAATATGTTTTAACTAAGATAAAGGCGTGGTATTTATACAGCCATATTAACTAAGAAAAAAAGGCAATATTAATCCTCTTTTTTCTCTGTAACTTCCTACCACTGTCAGTGTGAAACAGAGTGTAAAGTCATTTAGGATTTTCGTTTCACCTATCGACGAAAGCTTAAAGAAGCCGACTGCAGCTGCAATGGCTTAGAGCCACCTGAAAACGTTTTTGTTCGCCAACTTGGGTATTTTTCCTTTTCGAAGTCAGCTTATGTGTCGACACTAATTAATGCTCAAGAATTTCCCCTTAAACCCTCGTCGATTCGAAGGGAATTCGAATGGCAAATGTTCGTGTGCTGTGGCCGCAACACTTTGCCAGACTCAATGGCAAATAATAAAAGGCAACTCATAATCGTCTCATAAAAATCAGATGTGCTCACGCACATTAATGCATATAGACGCCAATGGCAGTATCCCAGTGCCATGAGTTCTTTGACATAGACAATGGCGGCAATGGTAGTGGTATTCCTTCGTTTATGCGGGGTACACATTCAAGATCAAGATGCATATCAGAAATATAGAAAGATCTTTAACTCAGACAAAGAAAACATTATGTTTAGAATTCCAAATTTTACTATAAGTTAAGTTAAAAACGATAATGGTTTTTAAGTAACTAATGTTAAAGTATAAAATAAAGCTTTTTGTTTTCATTTTTGGCAAAAATTCTTCCCATAAACGTTGTAGGTATTTGCTTCTTGGCAGTGACAGACATGAGAGTGGAACACAACCGAAACACACACTTTCGCACACTTGCCGGGGGACTTTTATAGCGACACGTAGTGAGGCACGTTTTGAAGTGCAGGAAGCTCTATCATAGACAGAAACGAGCATCTCTGTGTGCGTGCCGTGTGTGTGTGTGTGTGTGTGCAGTTATTACTTTTATGAAGCATGTGATTACATTTTATTTTTAATGCTTTTAGTAAAATGAGGTTAGTACACACTTGGTTAGCGACAAATTACATTCTTTTTTCCTTTTATTTTTTTCTGTTCTGCTGCCATCCTGCCTTTGCAGGACTCGAATTTTCGGTTGGTTTTTGGCCTCGATTTTGTAATCTTCGGTAGTGACAATATTTGCATTCGCTAATTGTTGTTATCATTGGAGGGGGGTGAAGGGAGGGTTGTGCTTAAACCATCAACCATTGGCTGCATTAAGCATGTGCACAATTAACTTCCGCTTCCGGTTATGATTGAACCCAGCCATATTTGAGCTGGCCACGGACATACAGGACACACACAGGACATTCACGACCGATAAGCCATGCAATAAACACACGCACACACACACACACACACACGGGCAGTAATGTACAGTGGCTGCAGTTAACTGTTTGCATATTAACGACAAATAACCCACAATCTCGCAACCTTGCAGCAGTATTATGCATCGATGGGCGAGCACGCTGAGTGAGCGATAAGCACTAGATAATATTCAGGTCCTGTCATTGCATAGGATCCGATCCCTTAATGGTTCGCCTACAGAGCTTTAATTTAAAGCAGCAATAACATTTTACAAAGGCCCCTGGCTTTGTTTAACCACTGGACATGGTCTCTGTTTGAGGTTAAAGGGCAAGCAGAATTATGCAAGATCTTCTGCGGCTCTTGACTGTCACAACAACTGCTGAACACTTGCCAAGGCCGGGTTATGCTTCAAACGACTAATTAACTATATAGACCAACTTTTATTACTAGTCATTTGACTATCCTAATCAGTCAAATTTCAAATTAGCTCAGAAGCTTGAAAAGAATATATCGATTTAATAGAAAACATACATCTAATTATGGAAAATTGATCACGCTTTAATGTTCACTTCTTTCGCCAATTTTATATTATTACATTAAGTATAAAAAAATGTCGTTTGAAATGCATTCGACATGAACAGAGATAGACGTGCTATGCATCCATAAAAGTCATTAAAATGCATCAAAAAAAAAGGGAGCCAATGATAATGATATGATAGCATCGATGGACAAAAAACCTAATTAAAATTCAACAGATGGTCAAGTGGATATTAGTTCGGCCTGCGGGCGACCTTTCACACTCCCCTTTTCCCCAGTATTTTTCCCAATGCAAACTCACACAGAAAAACCATTACGCAAACTTTTCATAATCAGTTGATTCGTTGAATGAGCTGTAATTAAAACAATAATCTAGCCAATGCCCCAGGCGAAACTGAGTGAAACCAGGTCAACCAGCGAATTGGCTGAAGTGATTTGGCATATTTATGGGTATTATGTTTATATATATAGTCGTATACGTTCGTACATTGGAGGGTGCTCCGTAGGCAGCTGCTTTTTACTTTTGAGCTTTGCTGCCTGTGCTGGCTCTCAAAAAGTCTTCGAGGCCCGGATCCGGCTCAGTTTCCTGCCTCCTGCATTGGCCTACTGCCAACCGAAATGGGTGGAAATAATAAACAAATCGAGCAGGGCAAAATGTTGACCAATATTTCAGTTAGGTTCTTTAGTTCTTTGCCGTTGACTGGATTGCTTTGCCTGCTTTGGATTTGGATCCGGTCCTCGGACCCTTTCCATCCGGATTGCCATAAATTATGAGCCGGAATGGATAGGGGATGGGTGGGCTCAGGCCAGCACCTGATTTGTTTATTTGTGGCACACACATTTTTCACATTTTCCGTCTGTTGACATCGCACATTCCGAATGCCCAAATGCCGATGGCGCCACGTGAACAGTTTTTAAGCCCAAGCCGAACGAAGCTGACAAAATGCTGTGGCAAATCTAAATCCAAAAGCCGATCCATTGACATGTGATAGTATTTACACGACACAAACAGACATGCAAAACATTTAATTGCTGTGCAAATGTTTGCTGAAAAGTGCTTAAAAACGTCTCAGCACGAGACACACATCACGTACTTAATTATTTGCTAGCCAAACAAAGGCGCAGAGGGGATTCCCCCTATTTGCAATGACATTGCATTCCAAGTTGCATTTGTAGCTACAAATGTGTTCATTTTATCGACCACCCGACTAGACAGACATCAAAAATACTCCGGGGATTGAGTGACTGAAGAGCTTTATGGAAAGGACCTTGATGTCATTGTCTAGTCCCGTCCATTCCTTCCTTCATTTATTCATTCATTGGCCAACCCTTCAATGTATTCACAATGGCATTGTGTGTTTTTGATGTCAACCGCCCACCTGCAGCAACTTGTCACCATGCAACTGCATTTGGTTGGCAAATCGTTAACTGATCTCTGTGCCGGAGTGCCGTAAATTGCAGAGCCTGCCAGCAACTTTTCAACTGCCACGCCCACAAAGTCTGTGGGTGCACAAGTTATGTCGCCGGGGCAATGTGAAATTTTCACACCATTCTTATTCTTTTAGCAGTTCGCGAGTTTGGCTGGCCAAGAACCATTAGCATTAGCACCACTAAATAGAAAATTTGGCCGGAGTCCAGACTGCAGAAGCCTGGCTATACACCCGCTGCCAAAACTGTTTTAAATGCACTTAAGAGCCCGGTTCTTTTTCAGGCACTCACATTCAATGGGTTTTCCATTAAATTTCAATATTTCGATTGGCCAAACGCAAAGAAATATTAATTTATTTTCGCAAACAATTTGTTTATATACGAGTGTATGTATATTGATATTTTTTTCTACTCAATTTTCAATCAAATCGAATTTTTGCATACGGAGATGCAGAGATAAAGCCCGAGCATATCTCATGTTTGCTGTTGAACACTCTCATGTAATTGAAACTAGATTTCTGAAACTTGAAGTTGTGGCTGGAAATTGTCTTTGCCTTGGCCTGGCATTCA